CTCATCACTGTTATGATGGCTTAAGCATGAGTGGGGCCATGATGGATCAGATTCTCTATCATTAATTACATAAACTATATCACGCCTGAATGACCGATATACTTCAGGCTTCACGTGTGTTGGAAATATCAAGTTCAACCTTCCGTAGGACACGATTTTTACGGGCCGAAGCGCGATTTCCTCCTCAGCCTCGGTCATTATAGCTTAGTGTTGAGCGCCAGCATGAACTTAAGTAATTAAAAAAAGTAAAGAGCATCCGTCATACGGAAGGCGGCGGGGGACGGAAATCAACACCTGTTAGGGGTGAATCCAACGAACCTCCAGCTCTCAGTGTAAAGTCTGTAGAGCCGAGATTGAGTAACACCATTTCAACGTTGAGCTGAGTTATCACCCCCTCCGTCAAAGATACGCTTCCGATAACTCATAAGACGACCAAGACGACGATGATGATGCTAGGAATGAGGAAAGATAATGCGGTACCAAACGCTACAATGTTAGTCAGAGAAGCCCTCGTCATATCAAACATGAGCTGCCCATCGGCGGGCAAACGAAAAGCCAAAGAAAGCAAGGTGAAAGACCCATCTGTCTTGAATAAAAGCAGATTTCGACTCGTCAATAATATCGTCCCTTCTAACCTATACCTCCGAATATGCTGTCCAGGAGGGCATCTGAAATACATGAGTTACCTGTTGGAAATATCACGAAATGAGATGGGCGCAATATTTATGGAAAGAAAGTAGAAGTTGACTAAAAGAGTGTCATATTCGGATTACGGCTAAAAGTGTGGGAAGTGTGCGCTACAAGTACAAGTGTAGGAGGGCAAGACTAAACATCTGTACGCGGTATCTTCTACGAACCTGAGAGTGAAATATTCTTCTAGAGCTAAGTTCGGTTAAATTTCGCAATTCCGAACAAGTCGGCCAACGAGGCAATGATTCAAAATACTCCATCATGTCAATTTTTCACTCCCAAAGAGTCCGACTCATACCTAAGTCTCATCAAGTCTACAAGTACGACCAAGTACATCCTCATCTCAATGACCACACTTCTCTTCGGCCTTCTCTGGTCTCAGTTGACCAACAAATACACGCCCACGCCGATATTTACACCCGAGGGAGGAAACGATGTGTGGCGCACAAACCTGGGAGACAGTTCTTTTTGACGGATGTGAGAGGGATCAGGACAAGCTTACAAGATGATGCAAAGGAAGGATATAACTTCGATGAGCATGAATTTCGGAACTTTGGCAAGGAGTTTCACGAATTGGGCTTTGTGTGCGCCAATACTTCGCTTGAGAGACTGCAGCTGACACTATACACGCAAGTCAACGATGGAAGAAGCCGTGGTTCACCTCCTAGTAGTGTTCTCTGGTATAGTTTTAGTAGTTTAGACATCTATTCCACTTGGGAAGGAGACATCACAGATTACATTTCGCGCAGAGAAAAGTTAATGGATTATGGAGGCATGTCTGGAAAACTCAGGGTTTTTGAGACGTTCCCTTGGGTGGGTAATGTTGTAAAGGTAAGAGCTTATGGAGGTTAATTGGCAGAATGTTTATGGATGATTATCGATGAATCAATGTGAACTGCTGATATTCTTGGTATTTAGAACCTTGAGGATTCAGTAGGTAGAAAGCGCTTTTCATAAACACATCGAAGGTAGCTAGGCTTTCGCGTTATTTTCCCAAAACAGTATCACGGAATATTCTAGTATCCTTCATCTAATAGTATAATGTAGAAACACTTTCCATACAGTGCTCCATTACTCTTCTACTCATCATGGGGCCACCTGGAAAGTTTTTCCTTCACCCTCAGTCATTATTACCCTTATGCATCGTAATCCTAGCCATCACCAGCACAACAGGTATTCACGGATGAGGGCCGACTTGGGTGAAGAAAAAGCCGCCATAATTTCGCAGTGGTACTTGCAAGTGAACACCGAGGCATGAGTGCTCTAGCTTTAATTTGAGTCATCTACTCGGTACTTTTTCTCTGATATTTTTTTATGGCTAGATAGCTGTATACGCAATCTAAATCTGATGCCAAAAAAAATTGTTCTACGTTTTTGCAGTGTTCAGCATGTCGTTGGGACTCCGACAGGAATATATCTTGACCCCTCTTTTTCTTTGTGCGTCAGATGTTAATTGCGTATACAGCTATCTAGCTATGACGCACATTCAATTATATTTCCAACCCCCTAACTCCAAGCTTATATTTCAGCCTTCGGCCCTTGTAGACAATTTCCAAATTAAGCATCCTATTTTAAACCCCTCCATGTGCTGTTATTATGACGCACCCTGAGTGCAGGCGACACTATAAACACCGCCATGGTTGGATGGTGCGGTGGCACATCGTCTCGGCCGGTCTGCCAAGTAAGATCTGGATGGCTTGGACGCCAATTCCACTCGAGACAGTAGATCGCTGGTTCGAATCCGGTAAAACACAACCACTTTTCTCGCGGCGCTGGTAGGCATGGATGACGAAGGCATGCTTGGATAACCAAAGGTTTTTAAATTCCCTTTGGTGGGTACTAACGGAGGAGGGTCGACTGTTTGCGTAAGCGAACATACCTCATAGTGGTACTTGCAAATGAAATCCAGAGTATGAGTGTCTCTAGCGTCAAAAGAGTCATCCAGCATGTATACATAGCACCGGTCATGTGTCATAGCTAGATTGCTGAATACACATTAAATGATAAAAAAAAAGACGCACCCTCTGAAGTCAAATGTATCCTACGTACTATAACGTGGCTGTTAGAGCTTGTGGAGGGAAGGGAATCACGTAATCTGTATTTAAAAGCTGCTACAAAATAATCTTTCTTTTTCTACATAAGAGAAGAGTTCTAGTGAGACTCGTATATCACGGATCTTGTCGTAATGACCCGGTTATATAAGCACTTACTTATGGTCATGCCTTGTGCGACAGGCAGACATATTTGTCGAATCTCACCTACATGCAAGGCTGGGCCCGTAGGTCAACTCAGCCGCTACTACCGAGTAAACCCTGTAACAGAGCTCCAGGTGTAATATTGTGCTTCTTCAGGCCATGTGGCACAGTTTTTTTCCATCACTAAGGAATTCCATATGAAGATATCTGGCCATGACCCAAGATCGGGGAAAACTACAGAAAAGAATATGGTACTCTTAGAAAGGTTGTCAAGTGCAGATAGATACTTGTGTTCCCCGCTCCGAGTCTCGCTTGAGAGAATCCAGCTTCTTCTTCCTTGGTATATCCTTGTATTCTGAAAAGCTTCTAATTGTCATGGGTGGATTTAATATACATTCCGGCGTCTCATACATTTGAAGAATTACTTACAGTCTCTTATGGATGGCAAAAGTAAAATTGTCAAAATGACCGGGGTTAGATCCCTGTACATTTTGCCTTAATTGGTATGGTCTTCATGCAGGCCCACATCTAGTTTCTTCACTAGTTATGCAAGCAAGGGTACTATCCAATGACATTCCGTGAAAGTCTGAATTATGGGGATAGTTCTAAACTAAATGGGAAAAGTACAATGGTCCTCATTTGAGATTCAAAATTAAAAAAAATCAATTGTTGTTCTCTAAAAATGCACATCTATTTCAAAAATAACTGCTCTGTATCGCAATAGAATACATCGAAGCCCTCAGTATGACTTGCAACTAAATTGAAACCGTACTACATGTTTTGTATTAGTCTTCTCCATCCTAATAATTTGTGTTCCCTCCATTTTCCTTTAACACCGCTACACATCTTCTGTGCATGTTAACCACACTTAACGGAGGCATCATCCGAGCAATGCATCTGCTGTAGCCTTTTTTTTTGAGTGCATTAGAAATTAAACATTCACTGCATCCCCAGTGGCTGAAGAGCCCCATTGCTAATTCCATATGGCACATCTGTGGATTTTCAGGAGATTCCCGGACGAAAGCCTTAAGCTCATAAGCTTGTTCCGCGCTTAACTTTTGGTGAGCATCCTTTGCAAGGAGTCGGATTCTCAGTCTCTCGAGCACACGCAAATTGCACTTGCCTTCTTGTGAAGCCAAGTTCGTCGGATATAAGTTGTAATGTCAAGCCAAGTCTTCTTAATGCTCTTATTTCAATACATTGATCCCGAGTTAGATGCTTGCGAACTCTAGTTTCTGAAGCAGACTTTTGGAGAGACAATTTTTGCTAGAAGTGAGGATGTTTTGATAGTGATGTTAAATTTCGAGGACTGTGTTGGTCAGGCAGCCAAAAGTGTCGTTGAAAATGTGTGTTTCTAAGCGATTTTAGAAGAAGACGATTGGACCATACTTCATGGCGAGCGGGGTAAGGAGGAGAGACATAATAACCTGTCACGAGCTAGCCCAGCTGCGCCTACAGGGCTAATCCCTTAAACAGCCCAGTTAGAAGTTTTACCTTTTCCAACCCAGAGGCACAGTAGTCCCCCGCATTGCATCGGTTTCAAAATCCGTATGTTAACCCTATGTTGAATTATACATTCATGCCCTTTATCTCACAATGTCTCACGTTGACTCAACCACAACACATTGCTTTAGCTTAGGACAAAATAAACAAAACAAAACTCAATCACAACTTAGCCAAAAATACCACAACCATCCATCTGATTAGTCTTTATTACGGTCTAATATCTAAAAACCCCGGAGTGGACTCTTTCCATTTTACATGAGGACAGCACATGTCCAACGCATTACCAATCATTATTAGCTTGTAATAATATTTTGTGAAAGCTATAATTGTATGTAATCTCTAAGTTATAGAAGTAGATGAGCATCAAAGGTAAATCTCTTGTGACCAATCATGTGAACCTTTTAGGTTGAACTTAGAATCATTTATATCAAATGTGGAAATTAGATAAGCGACTTTAATGACTGATGATAGTTTAGTCTGTCGAAAAGATTAGGTTATAGTAAATTCATTTAAGATTCATAATAATATTAAAAATGGGTGCCCCGCACACAAGATATACCTGTCTCGAGCGTGTTCCTATATGAAATAATATAATGAAACTCCTATCGCTTAAGCTTGGTAGGTAGAAGCGCTAACATTTCCCCCCCTTCCAGTCCAATTCACATGAATGTTTTCACCGACTTTGTATTTCTCGTTTGCAAATTCTGGCTTTATTTGAAAGGTGTGCGCGCCAAAGTAGTCTCTTTGAGCCTGGAGGAGATTGGCAGGTAGATTTTTGGTACGATATCCGTCAAACCAAGATAGAGCCGTGGAGAATGCGGGAGTTGGAATCCCGAGAAGAGCAGCCTTCGAGACTACATCTCTCCAACCCGGTTGTGCTTGGTGAATAGCTTTGTTGAAAAAATCATTAAACAACAAGTTCTCAAGGTCGTTATTAGCTCGATAAGCTGCAGTAATATCTTTCAAGAAGACAGATCGGATGATACATCCGCCACGCCACATAAGAGCGATAGATGGCTTGTTAAGCTTCCATCCATATTCTTTAGCAGCCTAACACAAGCAAAATTAGCACAACATACTTCTACCAATACTTCCATTTTTAACGCACCTCTTGCATAAGCATAAAACCTTGGGCATACGAAATTATCTTTGAGGCGTAAAGAGCTTGTTCAAGGTCTTCTAAAAATTGTTCCTTGTTTCCCTCAAAATTATTAGATCTACCAACATAGTGAAGAACTTTTGATGCGCGAGTCCGTTCGTCTTTGATGGAAGATAAGCAGCGAGACAGTACGGCTTCAGCAATGAGCGTGACAGGCATTCCCAAGTCTAACGCATTTATGGCCGTCCATTTTCCGGTACCTTTCTGTCCGGCAGAGTCAAGTATTTTTTCGAGCAATGGAACCTCGTCTGTTTCATCATCATTGTAGTACATAATATCTCGGGTGATTTCGATGAGGAAAGAATTCAAAACTCCACTATTCCATTTTGAGAATACGTCACCAATTTCCCTGTTAGAAAGTCCAAGGGCTCGCTTCATAATATCGTAGGCCTTCTTTAATTAGTAAAGTAACTAGCAAAATAGATCACTTTGGCTCTTACCTCACAAATTAATTGCATGTCACCATACTCGATGCCATTATGTACCATTTTAACGTAATGACCAGCACCTTCATCTCCAACCCACTCACAGCATGGCTCACCGTCAGATTTGGCGGCAATACTCTGCATAATGTCTTTAATATATGGCCAAGCTTCTTCATTACCTCCTGGCATTAACGAGGGACCGTATCTTGCACCTTCTTCTCCGCCAGAGACTCCGCTACCAACGAACCTGATTCCTAAGGAGGCCAGGTATTTTGTTCGTCGGTTAGTGTCGGGGAAATGAGAGTTACCACCATCAATTATAATATCACCCTGTTCGAGGAACGGCAGCAATGTTTCAATAAAATCATCCACTGGCTTCCCGGCCATGACTAACAGCATAATACGACGCGGCTTTTTTAGTTTGTTTGCGAACTCTTCAACAGAGTATGCACCCTCAATTGATTTGCCTTTGTATATCAGCATATTTTATTAACACTCAGTGATTTAGTAAAGCTCACCTTTAGCCTCATTCTCTAAAAAGTGGTCGACCTTTGAAGTTGTACGATTGTAAGCAATAACATTGAAGCCGTGGTCAGCAACATTCATTATCAGGTTTTGACCCATAACAGCCAGCCCGATAAGGCCGAAATCTCCTCTGTGTAACTCTTAGCGAATTGAAGTTGTCGATAACAATTTGAATTATCAAATTGCCATAAGCTTTAGACGGAATTGATGGCTATCACATTAAAAATGATGCGACAATTTCTGACTGTAACATAAAAATTAACTTACGTAGGGTCACTCATTTTGTAAAGATTCTCGAAGAATATATCGTGAAAATAAGACAACACAAATTAGGATATGAAAAGCGATAAATTTTGAGTAGTTTAGGAGTGCGAGTAACTTGTAGAGATTGGGGCGGGGGAATAGAGGGGTTGTGCCAAATACCAACCTTATTATTAAGCGCAAATAAGCTAACTGGCGTTTGTTTCAGTTCAATTGCTATCCATCCACATAAATAACCCATTTGTTCAAGTACCGTGACGATCAAAGCACATGATAATTTCATCTCTTGAATCCTTTTATATTCGATAAAGAAGAATGATGGTTATTTAACCTATTTTGATTGTACTAAAGGTAGGTTTAGGACAGTATTTTTATAGCATTGCCAAGTCAGCTGGAATGAAATAATAATGCGGAATTCTCTCACAGAGACACAGCTTTTCTTCTGAACGAAAGCAGCCATCAAGGCATGCCGTAGCTGGAATGAGTCAAGCTTAAAACTCGTTCGTTAGTTGGGCAGGAAATTAATCCCATATTATCTTCATATATCTAGTATATCGTCGAAAATTACTAGGGGTTTAGCTGAACGACAACTATTATCCTGTCAGGATTGTGCCCTGTATAGTTTTATGTCTGAAAGTATGCAAAGCTACAGCAATCTAGTCAGGCCCGGACTTTTGACCGAGAGGTTTTCTTTTTATCATAAAATTACATACAGCTGTCAAGCTATGACACATGATCAGTGCTACATGTACAGGATGGTTGACTTTTTCTTGAGCTAGAGGCAAGGACTTAGAAGCCGGGGTTATCCTGTGTGCCTTCTTGGCATTAAATGTTTATAAATAAATAAAGCTATACAAAACCATACTCTGTATTTCAATCCCAGATAGGATAGTGAGTGTTTTTTTTTTCATAGATTTAGTCGACCACCTGAGATTCCGATTGGATTAAAATATTTGGAAAGTGAGATAATTTCAGATTTGTGATGGTGTGGGTTACGTATGTCTAGAGGCTCCAAACTTCTAATATGTGTGGTAGAGCTCACGATTAGATGTCACTTGAGTTTCTGAGTGCATACAGCACTATAAATACTTCCATGGCTGAGTGGTGCGGTGGTAAGTAATTTAGTCCGATATCCCAAGTAAAGTCTGGATTGCTTGGATACAGAATCCATTTCGGACAAGAGATCGCTGGTTCGAATCCAGCAAGACTGAGTCATATTTCTCACGGTGCTGGTAGGCACAGATTACCAAAGGTTTTTCAATTTCCCGATGGTGGGTAGTTATCGACGAGATTCGACTATTCCATCTGAACAAAAATACCTGATAGTAGTGATTGCGAATGAAGTCTAGAATATGGATTTGTTTTTTTCTACTCTGAGGTCCTAAGCTAATGCTCTATTTCCGCTAGGGGAACTATCTTCAACTCGTATCAGCGGTGTCCCCTACGAACCTCCGGCTATCACTGTAGAGTCCACAGACCCGAGATTGAATAACACTGTCCTCGCTTGAATGAGGATCCCAATCGCTTTAGCGGTCTGTATCGTCTTCATTTCTCAACACATCCCCCTATCACCACTATAACGAAGTTAACCTCGATCAGATCAGACGGTAGGCTCGAAGTCCTTCTCATCACCCACTCTTGATCATGGAGGAGAAGCCATGCGATGAGGTTCCGGAGCTTACCCAGCGCCCGATACGGCGATGGTGGATTGGATCAAGTAGGCATCTAATGCGAAAAAGAAGGGAGCTCTAGATGAACATGTGCAACTTATGTGGTTCTGGTGTCGATGCCTCGCTTGGCTAGGATTGCAGGCTTTTTGAGGATTTTTCTCGCGCACGGTATTTTCAAAGTTATCAGTTTTTTTAAATTTCTTATTTTTGGGTGGAAGGTTCCCTGGAAAAAGTGGCCGAATTCCACGGGTTAATACTGAGCCGAATGGCTATTCATCACGGGCAATATATTAATGATCTTACAAGTAACAAAAGGGGATAGGAGCCCAATGTGCTACATAGTCTAAGACTCGAGTGATATAATGAAAATACCTTTCTCTCTGTGGACAGAACTTTGAAGACGGTATGCCGTATAGGTTGGGCAAAAGGCTTTTGGCACAACAAACCCCAATTTATTGTCACACTGAACCGACCCGGCTTAATGCTGAGGACATTCCTTTCAACCACAACTTCACAAACCTTCTCTAAATATCACTAACTTCACCTTCGATTAATTTACTTTTGGGAAAATTTTAAGAGGGAGGGTACTTCCTCACTTGGCGTTGGTCGACGAAGTGCCCGAAGAGTCGGCCCTGGTAGTGGTACGACTGTCGCGGATATTATTGGTGCTACTGGGGCTTGGACTGCCTTTCGCGGTCGTCCCGGCCCTGCTCTGGGTTCTTCAGTCTTCTTACTGGTGACTAAAGTAAATCCCTGATTATCAGTCGTTTGATCTATTTGTTCTGGTTCCGCTGAGGGTGGTAGTCCCAGTCGTACTTAATACAAATTTAGATGGACGTCTCGGATATCTCTGAGCGCGGCTGTAGTCAACGGAAGACGGATAGAGTAAACACAGTTTAATTCGTATATAAAGATCGTATAGTAATGATGAGCCCTCGAATTAGTTTCCAACACTTCGATGCCCAACCCTTTATCTACAACAACTAATCTATATACTACATGTTCTTGGTACATGTCTGAGGCAAGCCGGTTATTTAACGGAATATATTGCCAATCTGATCAGGCTCATTACACTCTATCGTAGCTGCACGTATCGCCCTCTTTCACTATAACCACCTCAACTAGTGTAATTTAACAATGGTAACTTTTAACAGTAGGAAGAGATAATATCGCATCCTGGATAAAATTGCCATCTACCTCATGGTGACGAGAAAGTCAGGCCAAGCATCGGACTGCAAATGAATGTTTAATGAAATCAGATACAGAGATAAAACAGGTCAAGGCCATGTCGGATCTTATATCCCAGGAGTGCTGATTGGGTATCCTTATAAAATTGAATGATCTAAGGTTGGAGCGCACAAGGGCGCTGTAATTACATGATTACTACGGAGTTTCTCGGGGGGAATCTGGGGCAAAGAGTCATGAAAATTTATCTCGTCTAACTAGTTGATAAGGTTAATGAAGCCTCTGTGAGTGCCGATTGAGAATTTGATTGTTTTTGAGAACCTTATACGGCAAGAGGTGAAGTCTGCATACCCTGACCGTGCAACATCTATATAAGCAACAAGATGCCTTTGGAGTGATAGCTCAGCAAGATAATGCTCTGAATACTCGATGTTTAGGTGCCTATTGAAAGGAGGGTAAAGGTTTCTCGTTATTTTCTTTCTAGACTTCACTTTTTGAGTACTTGAGCCAAATTTTTGCAGCTACTAGAGTAAAAGGAGAGGAAATAGGAGGAGGAGTTGTGAAGATGGCTTTTGTTGGTAATATCGCGCAATGAAATGGGCGCAATATTTATTGAACGAAAGTAGAAGTTGACTTAAGGAGTGTCATGTTCGGATTGCGTCTAGAAGTGTGGGAGGTGTGCGCTACAAGTACAGGTGTAAGCGACACAGAGCCTAAGCCACAGCATAAACGAGTGTGGTGCCATCTAGGTATAGAAAACCCCCAATAACCTCCTTGCGCCCACGCCATACAGCCACTCATATCTCCAATGGGTAGCCTAAATCGCTACCTTATTACCTATTCCAACCTCTTCAATACACACGAGATCATGTCGGGAACCTAGACGAAATGGAGGGCCCATACGTCCACAACACTCTGTGTCTCCATTTCCAACAGCTTCTCTGGGCGCTGTATGTGCAAGGCCGCTTCCTGTGATCTTACAATGACCGGAAATCCGGTGGGCTTGAACTTTCTCAGGTAAGCTGGGCTCATTCCCAGTTGTCGGGCAAAGTCCAATACTTTTAGGCAAAACTGGCAGACGGAAGTTGCAGCGCCGTACTAACGGTTGATTGATTTTTCATTAACGTGCCAGGTAAAATGACACCTGTCGCACTCCTACTGGAGCTTGAGCACGATACGGGCCGTGCCGGACCAGGTTAACTACCGTGATGTACAAGTTCATGGTTCTAGCCATTTGACCGGAACCATGCCGAAACGTCAGTATGTGTTGCATCGAGACGAGTCGAGCAGCCCGAGGTTAAACCAAAGGAAAACATCCACGGGAAATACAGCACTACGCGAGAAAAAACAAACAATTTCTCCATCACCGTCCTATCCCAGCTACCAAACGTGCGAGCCTCCATTCCAATCCCTTTTTCTATGCTAAGCCACCTAGACTATTGATTTTTGACCTCAATGTGTGTTAGTGCGTAGGGGTTGCGCAGCGGCTTCCGGTAGACTAGGGACTCAAGGCAAGCCTGTAATCTTCAATCACATAATGCCTGTACAGCTCGTTTAGTATGGTGTAAGTTGTTTGATGTTTCTCCAATTCTAAAACAAAACTCCTAATATTGCAAGCACACTAATGCATGATTACATAATGTGATTCACACTAATCTTGATAAAGCAGTATCCCGTGGACTGGTCACAGATCCCGCCTCAGGCAAATCCACTATCCTCCGACTCACTTTCCTATGAATATAGATATTTAATTCTTCGCTGTATCGGAAAATAAAAGTCTCAGCGGGGGAGTACTTTTGACTTCTTTCGATAGTCTGGGGTGAAGGGCAGGCAAACCTTGGCTCATTGTTTGCATGTAGGGCTTGTTTAAAAGCGTCGGCACGTCGGGTTATTTATATCTACTGGGCTGGCCAACACAAGACCATACGGTTGTGAGGTGAGCTAGTATGAAATTAAATAATAATAAAAGAAATAAAAACCATCGTTCGACTATCCACCGCGTATCTTCCGCCAAACGGTGTATACTCCTTGAATAGTCGTCAAATCAGATTCACGAAGGTGAACAAACTCTACTAACGCAGCGATGTTTACTCAGCTCGATACTAACATCAACGAGGCTCAATAGACTAGGTCTTTCACAGTCTCGGGCCAGGAAAGTTTGGGAGGTGTTGTGTCAGGTATCCTCAAAGATGTCATGAACTACCATGCAGACGTTGACTTATTCTCTTACCAGCGTTTCAAACTGCTACTTCACAAATCTAGGAGTCGTGAGAATTCTCGGAATCTGATCTTGTCGACAAGAGCCAGATGACTGTCGAGTGCTATGAGGACGGTGCTGGGGATTGCGGCGTATAAATTTAAGAGCTGTTCCAACCTAAATTTTCTTCATCAATCTTTCCAACACTGATTTCCTTTCATTTCATTACCTTCGTTCGACATTCGCTACCTCTCCGAAATCACAGGTTGATTCACACTCTTTACAATCTCCATTTTCTACCACTTTTGATACCGGTTTTATCAACTCTCCAACTTTCCTTCACCTAAATTTCTATCACCAATTTCAGCATGTACTCTCGTGCAATTCTTATTTCAATTCTAGCTGCCATGGCTAGTAGCAGCGTTAGCGCCTCCTTTATTCCTATCGAATCTTCAGATGTTGCAGCCATCAAGGAAACCCGAGACATCCCGGTCGATGTTACTCCTACCCTTAATGATAAGAGAGCCAATGATGACAAAGGCAAGGGCAAAGACGGTAATGACCGAATCCTTACTCGCTACATGTTCACTTCTAATTCTTCATAGCAACCAAGCAAACAGATGCCTCTGCCTCTGCCCTTGCCTCTGCCCCTGCCTCTGTCCCTGCCTCTGCCCCTGCCGCTGAGGTTGAAAGTGTTTTCGGCAAATGCGTGCCCAAGATGATTTTCCAAGGTGGCTTGGGTACCCGACCTAAGACCGAATTCACATTTCAATCCAGCGACCCGACATGTAGCGAGGGTCAAAGTGAAAACTCAAATCCTAACATTATTACTAGTCATATCAGAGATGTGGTGATCACTAAGTGCGGCGCCAACGAAGATGGTATAGCTTTGGTAATAACTGCGGTGAAAACGGTCGAAGCCCTAAATGATAGAACTCAGGCCTCAGCCGATGCATGGAATAAAGCCCTTGGACTTGCGTAAGAGGATAAGATTTCCGACAAGACCATAACAGTCGGTCCTACCAGCCCCGTCTATTTAGATAACGATTTGTACCTCCAGAAACGTAAATTTTCTGACCTGGCCGACCCAAGGCTTACCATTTGAATATTCAGGAGTGCATCGCCGTATTGGAGTTGGTCAAAAAATGCAAGGCTGAGTGGCAGTTCAATAGAATAGAATAGAATTTTATTTATGTCCCTACTGAGTCTATGACTATGAAGGACAGCTAAAACTATCTAAATAGCTTTAAAGTTAATAGTAAATAGTGGCAGTTCAAAGATTTGTGTAGCATGGTGAATTATTGACCCGCTTTCTATCCGTGCCTTATCCTCGAGTCTCTTCTTACTATTCTTGTCAGAAGGAGTCTGAGATGTGTTAGTATTTTTTTCGTATCAGATTTTAATTGTGTACGCAACTATCTAGCTATGACTCAATATTTGAGAAAAAATATACTGTAGATGACTCAATTATAACTAAAAGGTGTTAGTATCAAATAAATAATTTATTCAATTGTCCTGCTTTGGCGCCTAGAGGCCCATGCAGGTTTATTCGGAGGACATGTACTTTAAGTACAATGACTCATTTTGACGATTAGAACACTCAAACTCAGATTTCGTTTACAGATACTGTTGAAATCGGCGCTACTTGGCAATGAAGAGTCGCAATAATACGGAACGTAATAATGTTCTATCATTACTAGCCACTTTCATGACAACTCATATATTTGTGGATCCTGAAAAGATCTACATTGTCACGGGTTGGTCAGATTTTGGATGTACGACACATAGACAAAATGCTTTTGTCTTATGGTCTCACACGATCAGATCGCACAGTCACAAGAGCAGATCTCACTGGAGCTGAGGGGTAACAGAGTATTGATGTATATAGGCGCATAAATATCCTAAATTTAGAGGGAGATAGAATTCACATATTAGTCTCAAGCTCTACACAAGATCCATTGTAGTTAGGAGCCACGAGACACCACGTGATAACATATCATTCTTACGCACACACACCCACAATTTACTAGGTACACAACGCGCGCCCAGAAACCTCATGTTGACAAGCCTCCCAATTATTTAGCATAAAAAAGTGAATCGTGTCCTCCAATTTTTTTTGCATCGGATTTTAATTGTGTATGCAGCTATCTAGCTATAATACAATATTAAAGAAAAGTACAGAAAAGATGACTCAATTTACAATAAGAGTACCCATGCCTCGGATTTCATTTGCAAGTACCACTGCGAAATCATTTTATTGTCCTGTCTGAGTCTATAACTATTTAGACATGCAGGTCCTCTCTGCCTGTAGGCCAAGGATACCTATACCAGTAGTATATCCCCTCCTATGCCTTCCATACAGCTCCCCTCAAACAGTACCACACCTCACAAGTCCTCATTCGATCATACACTTAGAGGAGCCCTTAGCCCTTCATTATCTCCCCTCTCCAGCCAAGAAACGATGGCCAACTGCGGGTGTATGGCAGACGGGAAAAATTGCAAAAACCACTGGGCGCGGGACTCTTCTAACACCCATATTAGGACTAAATCCGAAGACATAGTGATTCTTCTGATGCTTTCGAAGAGGCCGGCAAGCTGGGCGCTGCAGACTTGTGGGTACCTCGGAGAATTCACCGTCTGCCTTTCTAGCCTCCTTCTAACTCCTTCCCGAAGGTCGTGCTGAAATGTCAGAAAAGTCTTGACAGTGCGTGATTGCTGTATAGTAGCGTAGCCCAAATTCTTTTGTGCCGTCCAGGGCGCTGGAGAGTGCCGTTGACTCATCGGCAAAAGAAGCCCTCCTGGCTAATTAGCCGAAATCTTAGTCTTGGCGCCAAAAATAATCCAAAGTTGAAATCTCGAAAATATCGGTCCCTGCATAGTCTTCTGAGTACTGTTCCCCCTCTCGCTCCGCATCTCAGCCGCCTGTTCTCCCTCAATTTGTTTGTCCCATTAGAGCAGCAGTCTCCCATAAGCCAAGAACCCAACTTTGTATATTATGACTTAATTTCCTCCTTGCGGGTATACGTAACGTCGTAAATTTGTAGTGAGTGATGGTCGGTGATGATTGAGGCCAGCTCCTGTTTGCAATTGGGGTGACGCCTTTATCGTTCGGCGAGGCGAGATGATGTGTGGTTAGAAAGAGGTTGAGGACTCAGAAGGTAATGGTGAGTGCTGCATGGTTGAAAAGTCGTCAAATGGAGATATGCATGTGTTTGCTTTCGACTTCGATTTGGTTGCGATTCTTCTTGGCTATCCCAGATATGCAGAGCATACTGAGCGATTACACCGGCACCACCGGAAGGTGAAAAATCCGTCTTTGCCGACTGTACGACTGCGAAGTTATGGCGGCTTTTTCTTCACCCAAAGTCAACCCTCATCCGTGAATACCCACCCAGGGGAACGTCTCAAAAACCCTGGGTTATCCAGACATGCCTCCATCATCTTTCAACTTTTCTCCGCGCGAAATGTGGTCTGAGATGTCTCCTTCCCAAGTGGAGTAGGTGCCCAGGCTACTCAAACTATACCGGAGAACACCTCCAGAAGTTGGACCGCGGTACCTACCATCGTCGGCTTGTTTTTATAGTGTCAGCTGCACTCTCGCAAGCGAATTCTTGGCGCGCACAAAGCTTAATTCGTGAAGTTCCTCGCCAAAATTCAGAATTTCACGCCCTTCGAGGTTATGTTCTTCATTTGCATCATATTACGAACTTGTCCGGATCCCTCTCACGTCCATCCCAAAGAACTGTCTCCCAGATTTGTGCGCCACGCTCTGCTTCCTCCGGCGGGTATAAATATCGGCGTGGGCGTGTATTTGGTGGTTAACTGAGACCAGACAAGGTCGAAGAGAGATGTGGTCATTGAGATGAGGATGTAATAGGTCGTACTTGTAGACTCGATGAGGCTTGGATAGGATTCGAACTCGATGGGAGTGAAAAATTGACGTGGCGGAGTATTTTAAATCATTGCCTCGTGGGCCAACTTCATTGATTTGACGAAATTTGACTGAGCTTGGCTCTAGGAGAATATTTCACTCCCAGGTTTGTAGAAGGCACTGCGTACAGGTGTTCAATCTTGCCCTCCGTGTCCTCCATTTAGATGTAGTAATTAGTTTAAATAGCGCTCTGATACGAAGTGGGTTTAATCAACAACTCTCCACTGTAGTTTTCACTCTTCAATCTTCCAACTCGCTTCACTAGGTGATATTAAACACAAGCCTAACAGCTTACGCTTCTCTATGCAACTTCCATTAAAACATATACCACTCGAAGTTAACCCTTAAGGCGTATAACCGCTTCTGTGTATGCCCACCACAGAGAAAAGCGTGAAAACCCTGTGGCTATCCGAGTGTGCCTTCATCATTCCACAAGCACAACATCACCGCAAAAGATAAGTCAGTCTAAATGAAATACATATCTTGCGAAAATAACTGCTAGTACGACCTAGTATATCCTTACTTAAACGACTACAACTCTCGTCAAATCAGTCTCTGGCCTCACAATCATCACCCATTCGTATTGCGGACATTCCAATTGCCTCCACAGCGATCGAACATCCTTACCTCACTTCAACACTCTATTAATCTTTATCTTCCCACCACCCCCGAGAGATTCAAAACCCGTGGACCTGTCGTACCGCTGCCGACCATGCCATCGGTACGAGTTACGAAACGCCAGCACTCGCTGGTGGATTACGCCAAGCTTCGACTACAGTCGCGCCTATTGGAGTATGGCATCACCATCGATGAGATGGATGTTGAAAATGCCGAAGATGCCATCTCCACCAAAGTGAAGGATGCCCCAGAGATGGAGATGATTGACAGGGCCGTCGACGAATTCGTCACCAAAGCCCTGTCCAACTCCATACGGGCTGCCCCAACTAATCCAGGCAGCTCTGAGCCAAGTCAGCAGACGGAGAAATTGACCCTGTCGCCAAATACTCCTAGGTCGTCAGCAACCTCATCGAGAAAGATCGCAGCCTTACCCACAAGGCTGCCAGAAACTGACAAAATCACCACGGCCCCAACTAATGCCGCCCGTGGCCGGCAAAGTCGAATTCTTTACCTTCCAGTGGTGCCGGTGTAATCGCTCAGTGTGCTCTGCATATCTGGGCTAGCCAAGAAGAATCGCATCCTTCGCAACGGCAGCTTGCTGAGCGTGGCCCAGTCGATTTCGATTGACACCTGGGCTAGGTTCCGTTCCCGGCACGATAGATCAAAAGTTTAAGTTTGAGTCTCTTCTATTCAGTCTTCTAATAACTTCCCGATTGAGTTTGACTGGGAGGACTTTACGACTCACCAACAACCCTCCAAAATCAAAGGTAAAATTCCTTTCGCTTTCAACCTTACTAACATTGTGTGCAGGACTGGGCAATTGCTCGGCCTCATTTTAGACAAGCACCTCGACCGCAACATCAAAATTCTCAACTTTTCGACACATTCCAAAGACGGCGCGAACGAAGAAGCCTCACTCAGACAACGAAAAATGTACGACAAAAGCTGGGGCACCGATGCCTCGGTTTTGAGCTCTCGATTTTGGGATTTCAGCCCTCTCAAATGGGGGTTGAGCGCAATGCAGGGGAGAATTTGGGAAGAACGATATGTGATTTTCAACAGGCTGTTGGCACAGCTGGTCGGGCGCTGGATGTACTTTCTAGAAGTGGTAGGTTGGATTCCTACACGGCCTGTTTAAGGGGGGACTACGGCAGCTCGTCGTGAAAGAGTACAGGAGGAATTATTGAGGTTTTCCCACGAAGTTTTCCATCAATACATGGTCTTAGGATCATGGTGAATGCGTTCCTACCTATTCGACCCGATGTAACTAGCGTGAGGCACGTATTTGGAAAAGTCAGGCACCGGATGGGCTTTGCTGGAGAATGGAGGAACTTGTATTCTAGATGTCCTCCATGCGTGTCACGTCCATTGGACGGAGGGTGTAAGCCTGGCACGATAAATGAAACTAAACTAAACTAGACTAAACTAAACAAATGCCGCCCGTGATGAATCCCTGGAAAGAGGGAGTGATGTGGAGCAGGGATCGAACATTTCTATTATCCCAGAAGAGATAGCCGACCTCGTCGAGAATGAAAAACAACGGGCAACAGAAGCAGTTGCCAATATCTCAATGTGCTCCTCGACCATCAACGTCGTGGAAACTCACCTTTCTCTTATGCTAATTCTTGGGCCGAAAATGTCGGAAACGAAACTCGGAGAGAAGGAGCAGGAG